TTTATTTTTGCAATTAATCTTAGAATTTGATTGTTTGCTTTAAATTTCTCTTGTTTGCCTTAGAATTCATTTTATCTTACTTTGTTAAAATTGCATATCTCAAAAAGTGTATTATTTTTGTTTAAATTGGGCCCATTTATTAAAAAGTTTATATTTTGTTAATTAAACCCTATTCACCCCAGGGTTGTCATACCGATCCAACATACAACACCCAAACACAAGGGATTTTCATATTCTCAATGGTATTCTTTTTAAAAGGGGACCAACTTTGTATCCCCCATACCTCATTGAGAGAGGCATGGATTAAAGATCTTCATGCGGGTGGGTTGGGTGAACACTTTGGCCGTGACAAAACCCTTCTCCTTGTAAGTTAACGGTTCTATTGGCTACAACTAAGGAAGGATGTATTTAGCCATGTATCAAAATGTTTCATTTGTCAAACAAATAAAGGCACCATATAGAACACCGGTTTATACATACCACTCCCTATACCTAAAACTATTTGGGAAGATCCATCAATAGACTTTGTTTTGGGATTACCCCGCACACAACGTGGGTTTGATTCTTTATTAGTCGTGGTCGACAGGTTTAGTAAAATGGATCCTTTTTTAGCTTGTAAGAAAATATCTGATGCTATATACGTTGCTAATCTTTTTTTTTTCAGAGAAATTGTACGGCTACATGACATACCTAAATCTATCGTTTTAGACCAAGATGTAAAGTGTTTTAGCCATTTTTGGAAGACCCTTCGGAGCAAGTTTGATACTTCTCTTAAGTACAGTACAACGGACCATCCACAAACGGATGGTCAAACATAAGTCACAAATAGAACTCTTTGCAACCTTATTAGATGCATCTATAGTGACAGACCGAAGCAGTGGGACTTGGCGCTTGCTCAAGCCAAATGTGCCTTTAATCATATGCAAAATAAAACAATAGGGAAGTCCCCCTTGAAGTTGTTTACACTAACTTGCATCCCTTTTACCGTTGATTTTAGTTTGGAAGCTGATTAGATGGCTGAAAGAATATCTAAACTACATAATGAGGTTCGTGACCACATTGAAGACACAAATTCCAAGTACAAACAAGACGCGGATAAAAAAAAGATCAAAGGAGTACAAAGAAGGCAATTTAGTAATGATACATCTAACTAAAGGACGCCTACCTGGGTCTGCTCACAAATTACAAAAAAAAGAAGTTTGGACCTTTCGAAGTACTAAAGAAGTATGGGCCAAACACCTCTAAAATCAAGTTACCGCCAGACTTCAACATTAACCCTATTTTCAACATTTCGGACATATATCCCTATCAAGCACCAAAATCCTTTTCTTTGGCATTTTAACTCGAGGACGAGTTCGATTTTAAGGAGGAGGGAAATTGATGTAACTAACAGTAGTTAATTCTATATAAGTTAGTTTATTTTAAATCTTTAGTTAGTGTTTAAGTTGGGTTGTTAATCCATTTGTCCATGACCTTTCTCCTATAAATAGGAGATCATTTGTAGTTTTAACATTCATCTAATAAAATCATCTGTTCAATCTTACTTGGCTACATCACCATGAAAAATAAGGATTCCCCACCTTGTTTTGAGCAAGAACCCAAGCCCATGTAGAATGTTGTCCTCGGTAATATAGAAACATAAAAATAAAAGTTTAAATGGATAGATAAAATTTTTTTAAAGAGAGATTTTAGAGAGCTCAAATTTACCCCTATTTGGAACCTCTGAATGGGAGGGATATCATTTCTCCTGTTTGGATAAATAAAGAAAAAAGAATTTGAAATCATGGATAAATAAAGAAAAAAGAATTTGAAATCCTAAATGATTTCGAATTCTGTTTTTGATTTAAATATTTTCCATTCGAAATAGGTCCGATTTGTGATATTTCAATTAAAGGTAACAAATTTCGATTTTGCCTACTTTGGTGAAAAAAACTTATCACTCTACCCTCCTTTATTTCTACATCATCAACCAAATTAGTTTCAAAATTTGATTTGTGAGTAGTTCCTTTTCTTCTTTTTTATATTCTAATAACTATAAACTGGGCTTTTTTTTTTGGTGCATCACCACGGTAACAAATTTTGATTTTCTATTTTGTTTTTGGTGTATTTAAGATTCCTATTGTTTACAACTTTATATGTTTATGTTTTTTTGGTATATTTTTCTTCATTTTTCCTTTTGCTTTTATTTTTTTTTTTACTGCACATCATAAAATAAGTATGATAAAAATAAAAAAGAAATAAATTGTTATGAATAAATTGAAATAATTTGATTTTAAGAATTTTTTTAGTATTTGAACAAAAAAAAGTTTGCAAGTTTTTGTTTGTTTTTAGTTTTTAAAATAAATGTGACATTGACAGGTTTTAATTTTTGTTAGGTTCATTTGATTAAATTATTTATGTTTTTCATGGTTGAAATTATTAGTTTATATTAAAATATTATATTATTAATAATATAATATTATACAAAATATTAAGGGTATAATAGTAAAATGTTATACATTCTTTTCATTTCTCGTGAAAATCCAAACAATAAATTTTAATTTTAATTATTTACCATCATTTTGGTTCCAAACGCAATTAGGAATTTGAAATCATTTCCATCATTTAAAATCTTAGAATTTGAAATCATTTCCTACAAATTTCATATGCCAAACGAAGTATTAGGGAGAGAAAAAAAAAGATTAAGAAACAAGAAACGAGAACGTTACCAAACGGGTTTAAGGGAGTCATAGTCTTGATGTTAATTTTGGAGCAAATCTAAGAAAATTACTTATTTTTACTTTCAAGGGTTTCAAATTAAAAGAAGTTATCCATTATTGAAAATAAAGATCACAAAAGAACTCAAAACAAAACAAACAAAAACATCACTCAAGCATTTTCAGCCTCTTTTTTTCAAACTAAACATCATAGGGAGAGATGATTATTCAATTCACTAGGCATCATCTTTAGCATTTTTTCAGTTGATGAAATAGTCGTTGACAACTTTAGCAACTTCAATGTATGGTTGTATGTTAACTAGTGAAACATTTGCAGCAGCTTCTTCCTTTAACTCGTACTCGATCGTCGATTCGACAACACATCTATCGTTGTCTTTCTCAATAATCTGTAATCGAATATGGTAAAGAGTAAACCCGAGATCCAGGTGCCCTCCTTCCACTACCTCTGTTTCTATTATTCGATTCTCATGGTCTACCTTCGTGAACTTTTCTTTAAACTTGGAGGACCACCTAAGCATGCATTTACATATCATTATTATCATCATCGTTACTATCTAGCATATATATTTTGGTGCTTGATTTTAGTTACTTTGAATCCCGCTCGCTAGGCCGATATAATAAAATAAAGATTAAATTATAAATTTAATCATTGAACTTTCAAGATTATATCGAGTCTTCATTTTCCAATAACTCCTTAAACTTGGATTCTATACTTCAAAAAAAAAAACCAATAGGATGCTATTGTTTAACTAGTGGAGTTAATACATGAATCTACCAAACAAAAAATAAAAATAAAAATAAATAATGGATTTATTATAAACTTTTTAAATTATAAGGAAGTTTAGGGATCCCACTAGCAAAAATCAAATTAAAAAGTTTAGGTGAAAAAATTAGCCTTGATGTTTGTTTCATGACTTATAACTAGCATTTCAAACATATTTTGCTGCTTACTCTCTATGAGAAAATACTTATCTCCTCAGTAGATGAATCTTGTTTTTACCACTATTAAATATCTGATAACTAAAAGAGAGAAATGTAAAAACAAAAAATATCTTAAAAAAAATAATGAGTTGTCAAATATTTTTTTAATGATGGTAAGGATAAGATTTCTCCTTAGTAATGAGAAGCCAAGTATTTTTCCTCAACAAGTCATACGTGGAAAAATTGTATATGCGTAAATATTTAGATCGTACTTGCAATAAATTTAAATCTTGTATCGATACGTTGATAATTGACTATTTTTGTTGTTATTTTAGAAAAATAATGTTCATTAATGTATTTAATAATCTGTTTGCTTCTTCTTGTTTTCTCCCCGTAATAAATACAGATTAGGTTGACTGATGCATTAGCATTACCACGTTTAAGAGAATATGACATGCATGCTAACATATATTTGTATATTTTAAAACTTCATTTTGACAGTGATTTTATGTTTCTTTGTAAAAATTACCTAGAAAATTATTTTCTATATGTTTATTTGGCAATCAAATATCGTTGTAGTGTTTCAAAAAAAATAAATAAATCAAATATCGTTGCAGGATTAAGCGATTGTCGGTGAGCTACGAACTAGTAAATTAGCTCAGACACTCATGCACATTAAAAAAAAAGTTTCCTTTAAAAAATTACTTTTGAAATCTAGAAAAAACAAACACAAATTCAAAGACTAGTTCTCATCATTTTAAAATTTTGATTTTCAGAAAATATTTCATTTAATAAAATGATTTCTTTGAATTATAGAATATGACTTATTATTTTAATATTAATAAAAGTAATGGAATAAATAAAGTACAAATTAACATAATTAAGGGGAGGTTTAGAATTTTAAAATTATATAAAGGACCAATAGATAAAACATGATTCTCACCTTTAAATATAGAGTGGATAACAATGTATGATATTAATTAGGTGATTAAATGAATATAACTATATTAGTCACTATACTTGGGTTTGGTTCTTATAATGTTTTGATCTTCATATTTTGATTTGAACAATGAAGTCATTGAGTTAAAAATTAAATATTGTATGGAAAAATAATTCATGTGACCATGTATGAAATATGAGAAATTAATAAATGAAATTGATAAAACGAACATAGCTCAACACTAATTAGCATACATCTCCAATCAAGAGGTTGTGAATAAAATTGATTCAAAATTATTGGTGTAAACACTAGTTTATTTTAAAAGATTTTTTTTCAAAACTTATCCTCAACATGAAGATATTTAGCTCCATACCATCGACTCCTCACCATCAGGACCTGTCACTACCAAAAATTACATTTTTGTCTATGCTAAAAAACGTTCGCAGGAGTCTAAAAACCGTCGGTCAAATATTTCCCGACAAAAAAAATTCGTTGGAAAATTTATGAAAAACATTAAAACGTTGAGATAGACCACCCATCCTGATGTTTTATAAAAGTGTCGGAAGAGACGGTCTTTCTCCACGCTCTCACAAAAGGTCGAGATAGATGGTCAATCTCATTATTTATCTAGATGAATATTGAATGTTTGATAATTAAGAGAGAGAAATTTACAGATCAGAAATTAAAAAAAGAAAATAACTAACTAATAATTTTTCAATTGTGATTAGGGCAGAGACTCATCGTGACAGATGAAAAATTTAGGTAAACCAGAGTGTGTATTTACCTGGTGCGAAGACAATGTTAAGAATAGTTCCTTCTGCTGCATCACCTTCAACTTCATCGATTCTTTCGAAGATATTGGGAAGCTTTTTCACGGCGAGTCTTCCCAATTCAAGAGTGCCGTAGATCTCCCATGCTTTATCAGCCGGCGCCTCAATCGCCGTCCGATCACTCACTTTCCCAAACATTACTTTTCTTTTTCTTTTTACTCTCTATGCCTTACAGATCACACTTGAGATATATATATATATATATATATATATATTTATTTATTTATTTATATCAACTAGGTTTGATAAATATCATGATATTTTCAAACCATTGTGTGACAAAATTGACCAAGCATTTTTATTAAATTATGCCAAAGTACATTAGAAATTTTGACTTTCATGTTTGATTTTTTCCAAACGTTAAAGAATAAGTTTAATACCTCATCAGTGATTCTTAAACATTCAATTATTTGTGTAATATATCCTTGAACTCCAAAAGAGTATGTAATATAAAATATTGAGCATTCAATATTGTATGTAATATGCATCTTCTTACCTATTAGATATTTTTTCATATTGACAAATTTATTATACGTAAGATTGAATTTTATGTGCATGAGAACCCTAAACTCTAAATTTTGTGTTTAAATAATTTAGAAACTTAAAAAAAATAAAAATAAAATAAAAGCAACCTATAGGTCAAGAACTATATGAAACAAAATTGAAAGTTCAACGACTTGTTAGGTACAAAATTGAAATTTTAGAAATGCCGTTAGATATTTATTAAAGTTGTTTAATGACTTATTAAATATAAAATTAAAAGTTTTGAAATTTATTAAACAAAGTTTCAATAATTAGATACGAATCTGAAAGTCCACTAACTAATTTTTTAATTTAACCAAATTTATATCTAGAAAGACTTTTACAAAGGATACGGTCATGGTCTGGGAAATTTCCATATCTTGTAATTGACGTAATAGCTTAGGAAAATCCTATTCATTTTCAATTATTTGTATTAAAATAAAATAGAAAATCTTGTACTTGTACTGTATTTTAATCGAACTCTTAGTTTAAAAAATGTAATTTTTTTAAAGGTAAATATATTAATTAAATAAAAAAACGGAGGATCTCAGGACTTGAAATAAGGCACAACATCAAAATGACACATAAGACAAGAAGACAAGTAAATCAAGAAAACAAATCTCACGCTAAGATAAATATAGGATCAAAACTCAAATAGTAGCTCCCAAGCCAGGTAGTACAATAATAATAAACCTCAGATTTCATGGCGCGCAGGAGAACATGAGGCGACCGGCCCACCTCACTCGCATCAACTCAAGCATTACGCTCCCTCCAGATAAAAGAAAAAGTCGAAGTCCATGCCAAGCGCCACACTAGACGACGAGTAGACTTACCGGCACTAATGTGACAAACCCAAAGCAAACTTAGTACACCAATATGAAACCTGGTGAGAAGAACCAGCCCAAACAATCATGCCAGACCAGACCTCCCAACTAAAGGGGCACTCAAAGAATAGATGATCCTAGGACTCCATGCCAGCACAAAACACACAGGAAGGAAGCAGGAACGAAAGAGTCCAACAACATAAGTGGTCCCTCGTAGCAACCTGATCACGCACCGCCAACAAGCAATGAAAGAATGCTTCGGAATGTTCCCACCAAACCAAGCCAAAGAAAACCAAGGAACAAGATGTCGAGTTGGCCGCAACACACCACGCACTCGACACCAAGAAGAGACCTGACGACACTGGAATCCAAATGGGCACATCAACCCTCCCAACAAAAACCTTGTTTGGGATAAAGAAACCCAACCGCCACGTGGAGGACAACGATTCGCTGATTGGGAAAAGACCCGAAAAGAACATTTGTGGAGCTCTACCTCGGAACCCACCGAGGTGAGAGACTTAGCTGTTTTCTCCAAGAATTAAGTTGTCATTTTAGGTATGTGCCCGACTTCGACCTGCTTGAACCCGACATATCTGATCTCTAATTCGACCAGGATAACTACCTGTCGTAACCCCTGTCAGAACCTAAACCTATAAATAGGGAGCCTCATTTCACCATCAGGTAAGGAATTTCTTCTTGAACCTAATATTGAGTCTGAGCTGCTTGCTGATTGGAGCGTCAGAGATTTTGCCCTCTTATGCAGGTTCCCCCTTAGAGTTTTAGGTCGGAGCCAGGACTGGGTCCGAGTTGGATCGAGTTTGATGTTGTGCAACTCTTGCATAAACAAACCTGCACAGACGAAACCTCAAAAACCATTTCTCGAAGATCAGCTGACCCCTGAAACCAATGCCACGAACCATCCAGAAACAAAAAATAAGCAACCTTCGCCCAGGACGAGCTTGCAGCATCATAGATAATTTGGTCACCAAACCTCAGATGAATCGGACCCCCTAGAAGCCAAGCGTCATTCGACACAAAACAATGCTGACCATCTCCAATAGCAAATCAAACTAGAGGCCGAAAAGCATCCCGTATAGAAAGAATATCCCGCCAACACCGAGAGAACCAAGGCGAAGCAAGAACAGTCCAAATACAATCCCCACGAAGACTATAAGCCTCAACCCAAACCAGCCAGCATAATGAGAAGACAGAGAAGTTTCATTATAGGGGTAGAATTCCAAGAGGAAAAGTGACATACACCCAAACCACGCTCCTGCAAAGAAATACACACCTCAAACAAGGCCACCTTAGCCACTGACCGCCCGCTCTCGCGCCCCTTTCACAAGAAATAACGTAGAATACGCTCAACATTATGAACAACCCTAGATGAAAGGATAAACATACTGGCTCAGTAGACCTGAGAACTCTGCAGAACCGACAGAATAAGCTACAACCGGCCAGCAAAAGAGAGCACCCGAGCCAACCAACTCCAAACACGAGAGACAATCCGCTCAAGCAAAGGCTGACAATCGCGATGAGAAAGCCATCGCGAAAGAAGCGGAACCCCGAGATAACCACAGGGAGTGACCCCACCAAAAGCCTAAGAAAGCTGGCAACCGCTCCACCTCAACATCAAGAAAAGCTACCCCGAAAAATGAGCTCTTTCGAGTATTTGCAACAAGACCCGTTAACTCTCCAAAAGAGATTAAAACATCTTTAATAAAGGATAGAAAAGCGAAATCCTCGTGCGAGAAAATCATCAGGTCATCATCAAAACATAAGAGGCCAAAACATCCTAAATAAAGGATAAAGAAGCGAAATCCCGGTGCGAGAAAATCATCAGATCATCATCAAAACATAAGTGAGTCGGACCAACCCAATCACACTTCTGATGAAACCGGAAACTCGGCGGCGGCCTATTCAGCATCCAAGACAACACTTCTATGACCATAACAAAAAGATATGGAGACAGAGGATCCCCTTAACGCAACTCACGACGCCCAGGAAAGTACCTTTCAAAAGCACCATTCAAAGAGACCGAAAACATGAGAGAGGTAATACAAGCCCAAACCCAATTCCCAAATTGAGCCGGAGTCCTAATAGCCAACAAGAGGCCAAGGCGAAAATCCCGATGAATAGAATCATAAGCTTTCTTAAGATCTACCTTCAACACACATCGAAGACTCCCTTATTCAGATGATAACCACCTACAAGCTTCTGACACAACAAATATTGTCCATAATACGACGTCCCGACACACACGTAGACTGATTCTGGCTAATAAAACTAGGGAGCCAAACCTTCAAACGTTAGCAAGTAACTTCGTAATGCATTTATAAAACACATTACAGCAGTAAATAGGACGGAAATCCCTCATACTCGAAGCATCAAGAGCCTTAGGAATAAGCGTGGTAGACGTTGCATTCACACCAGCAGGCAAGAACGAGGTGTCAAAACAGTGCATCACAGCTCGGCAGAAATCATCCCCACAAACACTCCAAGCCTCTTTAAAAATCTCCATCGAAAACCAATCAGGGCCAAGAGCCTTCCCACTACTCATAGAAAATAAGACCTCCTTAACCTCTAAAGCGGTCACCAGACAACACAAGTCAATGCTACATTCAGCCGGCCAAACAAAATCAAGTATCCCAGCGAGTCGATCAGTCAGATCATGATAGCCCACAGGCTAAGACCCCAACAAATCAAGATAAAAGCGAACCACCAATCGAGCAATCTCAGAACGATTAGTAACCCGCTGGCCAGTAGCATCGATCAACGAGGCTAACTCATTCCGAACAACCCTGCCTCGAATACTCCGATGGAAAAAAACATAATTATGGTCACCTAGAGAAAGCCATTAAACCTGAGAATTCTAACAAAATGACGCCTCCTCTTTCCTAGCCCAGACCTAGAACTCCTACAACACCAGCCTCTCCTCCTCCTGGGATGAAACAGACAAATGATCACTCAACAACATCGCCAAAACGTAATTTTTTTTAATGAAATTAAAATGTAATTTTTTTAATGAACGATTAAATAACAAAAGTAAATAAATATAGACAATTTACTCTAGTAATTAAAATAATTAATAATATTTCTTTTGATCAAATCATTTACAAATATAACATTTTTTATCTCACTTATTGTATATTTTGCACATACCAAAATTATCCTCCTCTTATCTCCCTCCTTTTATGTCTCCCTTTATTTTATTTTATAGTTTACTTTTAGACGGTTAAATAGGTCAGGGAGCTATTAGATACAAAATTGAAAATCAAATGATCTATTAACATTTTTAAAGTTCAAGGACCAATAAAAAACAAATTGAAAGTTGAGGGAGCTATTTGACACTTATAAAGTTACAGGCATATAATAGACACAAATGTAAAAGTTTAGAGACTAAACTTATAATTCAACCTAAATATATTACTAAATTTTAAATATGTTGACCAACGTCTATTGACCAGTGCCCTTTGCCCGCCCAGTGTAATGATCGTACTCATTTAAACCATGCGGCGTCATGATCTTACCCCAATTATGGCTAGCCTTAAGGCCTAACTCGAGTCCCAACATTCGTTTTAACGCCATTAGACCATAGGTCAGGTTATTTCACACTTCTTTAACCAAGTAATGAGCATTTTTTTACTTGTATCATGATGTCATCTCGAACATTCCCCCAACTATGCACACGCATGAGTATCCTCTAGCCTATTATTGTCTCAAGCATGTGTTCTCCAACTACACATGTAACTTGACTTGCCCTTAGCAATGAATGTCGCCTTACATGCATTTTGGCTTGATCTCAATGCGACCGCCTTT